ATATGGATCTTAACAAAGATCCGCTATACATTAGTACCAGATATACTGTACACGGACATTTTAGTGAACCAGACCAGCTGTTTCCGCCGGGTCTTCGCTTCCCGGGCATCACGTTGTTTACAAGTGTGTTCAGATGCTAAATGACAAGTGCAAGTGACAATTGTTGTCGTCTTCTCTGTGAACGTTTTTTTCTCCGTTATTTTGCCATTTTCAGATTTAAATTTCGAGCGGAAAGCTAACCAGGAAGTAATAATTACTTAAGCGGAGAACGGAGAAAGTAAACGTTACAGCAGGCATAACAACAGCCGGTGTTTATTTTATTATAATATTCAAGAACAAATCAGTACTTTTCTTATATGACTATTATTGCTAAATTTGAAAGGTCTTTACCAGCTTTGGAATTATATATATATATATATATAGCACCTTCTGCCATCCCATCTCTATATATAATATCTATCCGTGACATATGGATCTTAACAAAGATCCGCTATACATTAGTACCAGATATACTGTACACGGACATTTTAGTGAACCAGACCAGCTGTTTCCGCCGGGTCTTCGCTTCCCGGGCATCACGTTGTTTACAAGTGTGTTCAGATCGTTCAGATGCTAAATAAAAGTTTAGCTTGTACTTTTGATACCCCGCCTCTCGGCACCACAACATCCAGTTTACTGTATTTCACATGAGCGATGTCGAACATTGAAAAGTCCTTATAAAATCTCTGTTATTAGATCAGTACTTTTCTTATATGACTATTATTGACTTGAACACTGAGAATGTATTTATTAACTTCAGACATTTGAAATATTTGAAATCAGATGAAAACAAACTGTAACGGACCCTGCCGTGTTATCTATGATTACTATGCCTTACTGTACATTCATAATTTCAGCCGGAGGTAGGTGGTAGGCGTTGCGGAGGAGCAGATTGCGAGTGAGGTGCCTGTTCTAAACGAACTATTCCAGCTGTTATAAAGCATTAAATAAAAAGTAAGCAAGGAATACAGAATGTTTCGTTACGTAACTTTGTTGAGAATGTGGCCATGTACATGTAATACATGGGATCATTTGCAGCGACTTGGTCATTGTGGGGAAAAATAACACCCATCCTGATCGTTTCAATGAAGTTGAATGCAGAATATTCATATTTGTCAGTGATTTCATGTCAATTCGGTGAACATAAACATCAATGATGATGATTAAATTAGGATTAAAAATCGGGAGAGCCGGCTCGTTCGTTTTTTCCGACTAAACAACATCTATTATTTAGAAGTTGATTTCACATGACTCCAGTGTGGAACCCCACTGCACCCCCTGGTGGATCAATGATCCATTGCAGCTGGCTTCACAATAATTAAATGTATTTATCATGGGGGCGGTATCAAGTCTGACTGGGGGCCGGCCGGCCATCACGGAACGTGCACGAACCGATCACGACCCTCGCACTTTAAACTGTCCAAAATAAGACGCTTCATCTGTAGGATGACCTGTAAATTGTGTGAAAAGAATGAGGAAAGTGTGTATGATATTTGCCGAATAATAGCACTGAGTCCCAACATGCACAGACAAACAATATCATTACCAAACAACTTAAAAAGGGAGAGTGCATGGAAAGGACACCCTGGCTAACACTGGAAGAGTCCTTGCCGAACAAAAAAGATAATGAATAACGGCTCAAGAAAGAGAAATAACAAAACAAACAAAGAAATAAATAAACATACGGGTATAGCAGGATGGACAGAGGGATGCAGATTCATCTTTGCCCCCCCTCCCCATTCCATCAGTGTAGGTGGCCTATAAAATCTGCTGCTAATGAAGCCTCTGCCTTAGACTCCCTTAAGCTGCTACTGCGGCTCAGCACTGACAAGCTGTATTCCCCTGAAGACAAGCTTTCATTAACGTGTGTGTGTGTGTGTGTGTGTGTGTGTGTGTGTGTGTGTGTGTGTGTGTGTGTGTGTGTGTGTGTGTGTGTGTGTGTGTGTGTGTGTGTGTGTGTGTGTGTGTGTGTGTGTGTGTGTGTGTGTGTGTGAATAAATGCTCCACTCCTCTTCCCTGATCAGCTGCTGCAGCTGGTGTGCTTGCACTACAAATGGAAATGGAGGAACATCCCCAGCAGCCAACAGACCACTTTTAAAGTTGCAATATCTACGCACAATTTAAAAAAAATTCAACAACCTTTAATACAATTTAATGATAACAGGCTAAGTGTCCAGTGTCCATTGGTGTCAATGTCTGTTTTAATGGGACTGAAAGGGAAGATCTGTGTCAAAGAGGTTGCAGCCAACAATGTCAAACTTATAGCAGGGTGGTCAATTGGGAGAGCACGCCCAATAAGGAGTGGAAGGCTTAGTACTCGAAACATGAACCCTGCCAGCCAGACAGAGCGCCAGCTGGCATGATATAAAAACAACAATAAAGCAGACAAACAAAATAAATAAAAAAACAGAATAATATAATCAATTATTTTCCACTTTTTTCCCCACTGTGACCTGACTAGGATGTCCTCCCATGAAAAATCATTAATTTGAGAAAATCCTGTTATTCTGCACAGATTACCACTGTTGTCCTTCGTAACCATGAAAACGAAGCTCCTTTAAGCCTAACAAAGTAATTATACCCAAACTATGATGTTTTCCAAAATGCATCCCTGTGAGGGAGGGGCCATTCGGTGTGACTGTTAACCTGGACGGATTGTCTTCCATGCTAGGGGAATCCATCGATGTTGAACATGGACCCGTCTCGTCAACAAGGCTTTTTGGGGGTGATTTTTCGCGGCCATGAACATTCATAGATACGCAACCAATGTTCATTAAACAAAGTTTATCATTTGCTAACTTTCTTCTGAAAATATACGCATTGAGCTTTTGCCGAGATAAGTTTACCTTAACTAATGGCGCGTTTCCACTACAGCGCGGAGCACGGTTTAAGAGGGCTGTGACGTCAGCGGCCCGTTTTTGGTTGCGTTTCCACTTGGCCTAGTACCGGCCGGCGGGTCCTAATTCACAGTTTTTCTGGCCTCATAAAATCGTGGGTCTAGGGCCAGAGACAACGAGGCTGAGTCGGGCTGAGTATGCTAAACTAGAGAGAGAATCGCTGGCAAGGGGGCTACAACTACAACAAGATGGACATATTTGACCGTGATTTAATTGTAATACACGTTTCAAAAATGATGCCGAAGTAACAACATACTGATACCGGTTAGTAAAAATCATGAATTAATGCTTTGACAAGTCTGCAGACAGACGGCAGGCGAAAAACCTTTTAAAATGCGTGTTTTCTAAATGGAGATTGGCTAAGCTAACGCAGTATATGCTCCGACCGTCCACACTCACAACAACGGCCTATACAGACATAAATAAAGCAGCGACTGTTTTCGCCATGACACAGGCAGTCTGTGGTTTGTACTTGTTTAACTTTTGTCTAGTTTCTGAACATATATGAGGAGCTGTGAGCTCTGAGTGCTAACAGCTAACGGCTGTGTTGTTTTTCTGGGGTTCTCATTGAAGATGACGTCACGGCTCCGCCTACACTGCGTTACTATAGATACTACCCCAGTTCCTAAACTGTAATGGAAATGCGCCATAAAGTGAGCCAGTCCTAACGAGGCCTAGCCATACCGAGCGAGGCCGAGCGAGGCCGTGTAGTGGAAATGCGCCATAAATCATCATGATTGTTAGGGATTCACATTTTAGTATCAACATTTAAATACTCACGTCAAACTATTAAAGAGTGTTTAAGACACACAGTTGGTGAAGGGATCAGAACAAGGGCTCGCTAACGCCCTAATGCTAACACATGCTAACTGCTATCAATCACAAAAACCACTGCATCCCTAGCATGATGGGAATATACGAAATGACTCAATTTAAAGAGTTTTCAAAACTTAAATTAACACTTTGTTCTATCCAGCCTCATTCATTTCAATAAGAACACTTAGATAAAGTGCCACAGGTGTCAATGCTAAACTTTTGCCGCAATGGGCCTCACCTGGCAACACTTAATTTACGTATAAAGGCCCTGACACACCAGGCAGTCACCAGAGAACTCGCCGACATCCGACACCGACAGATCCATCGACGAGTTCTCCTGCGTATTGGCCGTGTGTCGCACTGAAATACACCGCTTTACTACAGCCGAGCACGTACGAACTGCGCATGCGTGAGTGGCAATAACTCTCCTTACCAGCAGGCGGCGGTAGTGTGTATTCGTCATTCAAAATAGGTAACAACCGGAAGACAGAGAAGAAGAACAGACTGATATAAACAAACAAATAGCGGGTGCCGTTCCATTTTCACTCTCGTCCATCGAAAACATGTTTTAGAATATAAAAATACATGCATGATGAAATGAGCACATAAAGTGCAGACATACTATAAAATCACAGTTAATAGACCTGCATCTGATGATCGCAGTGTTCTGGCGGGTGTGTAGTTTATTGAGTCAGCAATGTAATAATGGCCACTTCTTGCTAAATTTACGATGAGATGAAAAACCGGACTTGACCAAACAAATCACGGAGCTCTCAGCAGAGGACAGCCGGGGACGCTCCCGCCGATATCAGAGATGTCCCTGCTATGTGTGGGAGGTAAGAGAGGACATTTAAGGGCTATGTTTGATGTCTTTAAGTATCACCTGCTGGTGTTTAGCTGCTGTCCTGTGCTTTAAATCGTTTGTTTACGTCCCTCACTTCCGTTTCGCTTCTCATTTGCTAGCTGAACAGCTGATCAGAGTGGTTTCTTGGCCCGATAGCTTGTGTCAGACACCCGGCCGATTCAACATGTTGAATCGGCCGGGTGTCTGACACAAGCTATGTGTCGATCGTGAAAGGCCAAATAAGGCGTGTCACGGCCGAGGGTTCGGGACACACAAAATTGACTTTGGGCGACAAGGAACCCGTTTTCGCCCAACAACGCAAGACGGCCGATATCGGCCTGGTGTGTAGGGGCCTTAAGCGTGCATTCCTGTTAGTTCTGTTAACCTTATCACCCATCACTCACCTTGTGTGAAGTTATAATGGGCAGAGAAACCCATGGCCTCCAGTTCCCCATCAGCCACAAACTTGATGTACAGGTACCTCCCACTGGAGCGGACATATGAAGGGCTTTCCGGCCCACAGAAGCGCCCGAGGATTGGAGAGAACACGAATGGCCCATCCCGTACCTCGATGTGGTCGAATTTACACTCCCAGGATGGCTCGATTGAATACTTCTCATCGAAAAACAAGTCGATGCACTGTCGTGGAGAGGCTTGAGAAAGAAGAGGGGTTGAGAAAAAGTGAGATAAAGATGGGACTGTCGGAAATGTAGCCTTAAACAAAGATGGAAGCCTCACCTTCAATAATATAGACACATTCTCTCTCAGGAGGGTATTTCTCTGGGTAGTTGGGTGAGGTGAAATACCCTCCCTCAGGCTCTTTTATCCAGGTCCCACACTGCCCAGCTGGTGTCACACCCGAGTTGTTCTTCACTGCAAACACAAGAAAGAAGTGAAAAGACAGCATGCAGAAGAAAGTGTTTAGCACACCACTAGTTTATATTTGTCATAATTGATCTTCTTTTAAAGATCTTGTAGTGCAATAGAGGTTTTTAATTTATGGTAAACTGGATTTTAGTCCAGTGGCAAACCTCCACTGGTTGCAAAGAGTAACCTGATTGTATAAAAGTCTATGAGAAATTCACCCCTTTCCCCCACATGATTGTCTTAGAACTTGAATCCTCTCGCAGGGTATTTATTTGTACAAGTTTTTACATACCTCTTACAAAGTGGTGGTGGCGTTAAGTCATGTGGCTGTGGTGTAGTTGTTTTCAGCCTTACTTTTTTTTACTTTTAGCAATTCAATTCACCCTTCAAAAATCATAAAAACAGTGTTAATATGTAGAAATTACTCTGCTGAACAAGTATCTTGTGAGAAAATAATAAATTAATACCGATTACGAGTTCAGAAAATGTCTACACATTGTTTGTTTTGTCGGATTAATTAAATTGTATTTAATTTCTCACAAATTCCATTTTAAGTAATTATAATAAATATAATTAAGATATTTATGTTTAAAAATGTACTTCATATTTCTATTCCGCACTTCTCTCCTTTAAGGGGCTTTAGCAGAAAATAGGCCTTTGAATGGTGGCTACAGAACTACAGGCTACAGAACGATCGGTGTGTCAGGGTGATACCTTGAGTTTTTGTTTTGGTAGCTGAGGCCCCCGGAAGCTCACGTGAGAGGAGACTTGCTGCCAAAGCTGTCAGAAAACAAGAGATTACAAATAAAGTTGCAATGTGTCAGAAATGCACTTAAATGTCCAGTTGTTATAAATAGAAAGTGTTTAAAACAGAGCAGTTATAACCAGAGGTGGGAGAAGTACTCAGATCTTGTACTTAAGTAAAGTAGCACTACCAGAGTGTAGGAATACTCGGTTACAAGTAAAAGCCCTGCAATCAAAATGTTACTCAAGTAAAAGTAGAAAAGTATTGGCATCAAAATATACTTAAAGTACCAAAAGTGAAAGTACTCTGTATGCAGATTGGCCCATTTCTGAATATTATATATCATATGATTCGATTATAATTATTGACTGGCTACTGCCTGAGATCGCATGCTGTGGTTTTATTAAATGTGCCAACTGCTAGGACTGTCTTAGGGAAAATAGCATTTAGATGCGCAGCTCCACTGTCCTGGAATAGTCTGCAATTAAAATGGAAACTGAGCAATCTGTTGCCACTAAATGTTTTTAAAGCTCGGTTAGATGCTACTGAATCGGAAGCTGTTGGTACCTGTTCATGTGTATAGTATGTAATTTGTAATCCCTGTATTGCTACTGTATGATGTCCTTTTGTTGTTCTGTTTATGTTTTTAATGTTTCATGTGGAACCTACTTGAGCAGGTCTCCCTTGAAAAAGAGGTCAATGATCTCAATGGGATACAACCTGAATAAATAATGGTTTGAAATGAAATGAAATGAAATTGACGAGGTTATCAAAGCTGGTAAATGTGCAGCTAGTAGTAATGACTTTGTATACTGCAGGGTAGCTTTTGATTTTGTTGATTTCATTTCACATTATTAATCAAAATCTGCAAAGTAACTAAAGGTAAAAAATAAATGTAGTGGAGTAAAAGTGCACAATTAACCTCTGAATTGTAGTGGGTTAGAAGTACAAAGTAGTATACAATTGAAACACTCAAGTAAAGTAAAATTACCTCAAACTTGTAGTTAAGTACAGTACTTGAGTAGATTTACTCAGTTACTTCACACCACTGGTTATAACACACAAAACGCAACCAATCGTGTTGAAGTATTTGAGGCACAACATATGATGCAAATATATCTATACTAACAGGTTTTGAAATGTGTGCAGCTGTAAACTTACCGATGTGCAGCAGAAGTTTGTGCACCATTTCTGTTCCCTGAGGATGAGCAGCTCTGTTACAAATGTTTCCATTAAATAAAGTTGATCAAACGTCCATTCTTTGGGGAAAAATATCCCTCAGTCCGTCGTCCATCAGCTCCTCACAATATGCGCATAATCCGAGAGCCAAGAGTTCGACATTTCCATCTCTCTGTCATTCTCCCCGAGAGCTCAAAGGATTATTCCCCCGTCCCCTCCGGCACAAACCTTCATGATTTTCGCTCCACCTTTAGGACGCAGTCGCATAATCTTCTCAAAACATATACGCTCATTGACAATGCTGCGAGTGCGACCCGCAGTGCGTGTGCACGTGCGTATATCTGTATGTGTGTATGCCGGTGTTGTGTTAAATTATGCACCCCCATCATGAAATGCCCCCCTTGTCACGGGAACGCGCATTTCTAAATGACACGTTTACACCTTAAAACGATGTTTAAAACGAAAAGTAAACGTTCAGGTTTTTTATTAATGGTAATTTTCAGACTGTGAGTTGTTTAGTGGTAGCTCATAATAGTCTTGATTCTTGTGGTTAAACTTTTCGCTCCGTATTTGATGGTAGTGGTGTCGAAATTCATTCATCACTTCTTTTTCAGTTTTTTTTTTTTTAATCTTTTTTTTTAAAATTATTGTTACGTCCTGTCTGTATACACGTGCTTTAAAATGTATTGTTTAATTTTACATATTTCTCATATAATAATCAAAATATATGTTTACAAATGTTACATAGTCTTTGTCAGCATATTTTTGCCACGTTATGCACCCCTTGCTATCTTACATAATAAAAGTGTCACATTCATGAAACTTGCTCCATTCATTTGTACTAGTCCTACAACTATACCCTGAACAATGCTTGAGGGTGGGATTAATAGAAACATCTTTTTGGGTGGGGTGCATTTTATGACAGGCCTGGTTATCACAATATGCCCCCCCTTGCTATCTTACAAAATAAAAGTGTCACATTCATGAAACTTGCTCCATTCATTGGTACTAGTCCTACAACTATACCCTAAAAAATGCTTGAGGGTGGGATTAATAGAAACATCTTTTGGGGGGGGGGGTGCATTTTATGACAGGCCTGCATGGTTATCACAATATGCCCCCCTTGCTATCTTACAAAATAAAAGTGTCACATTCATGAAACTTGCTCCATTCATTGGTACTAGTCCTACAACTATACCCTGAAAAATGCTTGAGGGTGAGATTAATACAAACATCCTTTTGGGTGGGGTGCATTTTATGACAGGCCTGGTTATCACAATATGCCCCCCTTAATATCTTACAAAATAAAAGGGTCACATACATGAAACTTGCTCCATTCATTGGTACTAGTCTAACCCTAACCCATTTATCTCCATCTCCAAAACACTCCAAAATAATGACTATCATCCAATATTGTTTTAACTCCATCATAACCTTTAAATTACAACAGGATTGTTTGGTCATTATTTTGGAGTGTTTGGAGATGGAGATAAATCATGGGTCAAAATTGACCCGCGAACACCATGAACGGTAACAGCTTTCGAACACAACACAAGGGTTAAAGATGAATATGACATGTTGTTCACACTGACTTTGATTGCTTACCATGTCACTGGACTCTAATCTTCAAAATGAATGTTTATTTTATGTGTGATAATGTAAACAATTTTAGTATGGATAATATGTCACTTTATTTCTTTATTTCATTCAACATGTATTATTAATTACTGTGTGTATGTAAATGTGTTGGACAATTGCAGGACTAGCCCTCACTCCATATTTGTTTTATTTCTGACTCGGATGATAAACCAGGCCTGTTATAAAATGCACCCCCCCCCCCAAAAGATGTTTATATTAATCCCACCCTCAAGCATTTTTCAGGGTATAGTTGTAGGACTAGTACCAATGAATGGAGCAAGTTTCATGAATGTGACACTTTTATTTTGTAAGATAGCAAGGGGGGGCATATTGTGATAACCAGGCCTGTCATAAAATGCACCCCACCCAAAAAGATGTTTGTATTAATCCCACCCTCAAGCATTTTTCAGGGTATAGTTGTAGGACTAGTACCAATGAATGGAGCAAGTTTCATGAATGTGACACTTTTATTATGTAAGATAGCAAGGGGTGCATAATGTGGCAAAAATATGCTGACAAAGACTATGTAACATTTGTAAACATATATTTTGATTATTATATGACAAATATGTAAAATTAAACAATACATTTTAAAGCACGTGTATACAGACAGGATGTAACAATAATAACAAAAAAAAAGATTAAAAAAAAAAAAAACTGAAAAGGAAGTGACGAATGAATTTCGACACCACTACCATCAAATACGGAGCGAAAAGTTTAACCACAAGAATCAAGACTATATGAGCTACCACTAAACAACTCACAGTCTGAAAATTACCATTAATAAAAACCCTGAACGTTTACTTTTCGTTTTAAACATCGTTTTAAGGTGTAAACGTGTCATTTAGAAATGCGCGTTCTCGTGACAAGGGGGGCATTTCATGATGGGGGTGCATCATTTGACACAACACCGGCTTGGGGAGTAACGTATGTAACGGGAGTATGTAATCAGGAAGGAAGGTTACAAAAAAGGTAACAACTTGGTTGGGTGATTTAGCCTATTGTGGGACAATTTTTGCGTTTCAGACTTCTGGAATATTGCGATATGAAGCCAATAAATCCACACCCAGTAGCCTACCATTCTGAAATCCCCAGGATGTGTCCTAATCAAACCAAAAGAGAAAATGCAGATATCACACTCATAAAAGAAATGGACATATCAGTACTCTCGTAGTGCCAAGTTGTCTCAGACAATCTGCATTTTCTAATGTGGGACAGTTCTGTCCAAAATGTGGGACAGTGAACAGTCTATGTTGAAAAGCCTCTTTCACCTTAATTCATGTAATAAAAACATCTCAGGTCAGAAACACTCAAAGCTAAATGTGCAATACCATGTTCAGCTATTTTACTATTTATAATGTTATTGTTGTTACAAAATCTAGGCTTATAGGTGTGAATGTTACATGGAGAATCAAACATCATCAAACGAACAATAGATTCTAATAGTTTTGATGCATTTATTACAAAGACATTAAGTAGCTGTGAATTGCAAAGTTAAAATGTTTAAAATCTATGTTTAAAATAAAAGATAATTGAAATGGGAACACATACAACTGCAGGTGTATTTGAAGGCAACATATCAAACATTGAGGCAACACATAAAACCTAAAGCTGCGTAAAACAATTGCTTACAACATGCTGCTGTGAATTGCAAAGTTACAATGTTATTAAAATCTAAAGTCATTCAAATTTATTTCACAGGGAACACATACACCTTTAACAGGTATATTAGGCAACACATGCCCACACAACACACACAAACATGAACCTGCCTAAAACAATTGCTTACAACATTACATGTCTGGAAACAAGCAGTCCTTGCATGTCAAGGAGCCATCATCGTCCATAACCCCATTATCCTCTGCACAGCTTTCATGGAACCACTGGACACAGACTGCACACGAAAGCCATTCCTCTGTGGACTTGGGGTTCTTTCTGTCCCCATATGAATGCTGGCAGATTGCACAAGCTTCTTGGACCACTTGTGCAGTTTTCTTCTCCTTAGTTTTTAGTTTTTTCTCCTTTTTCTTTCCCCCTTTCTCTTTGATGAAAGAAAAATGGCTGTCGCTCGTCAAACTATAGGAAGGAGGTTTGGCCCTCTGGCGGCTGGTGGTTGGGCGTTCTCTTACTGCAAGTGTAATCAGAGATTTGAAGGAGACCTCTGGCTGTGTCACCACTTCAACCTTCTTCACAGCAGTGGGGTTGAACCCTGCTGCTCTTGCGGCTGAGAGCGCTTCTGGTTTGCGCATGCTCAGTTTGGGGTTTCGCCTCAGAAACCCCTGAAACCATTTATAGCCAGCTTTTTTCGTAATTTCACTGAAGCCTTTTATTCCTTTTTTCTCAGCAAACTGGAAGGCCAGTTTTCAAATGTCGCCCAACCTCAGGGGGAATCCGTGTTTTCCCAGGGTTGCAATCATCTCCTCCAGTTCTGCTTCATCCTTCTCATGAATGAATGGCTTTCTTCCAATCATATGATGATAGTGACCATTGCCTTTCGCCCTGCGCTAGAGAGTGGATTTAGGAACGGTCCAGGCTCTGGCCAACAGCCTCAACGATCTGTCATACTCTTCTATGGCTCCCCTCATCCTGTCCTGCCTCCACTAATTCAGTTTCCTTCCCTGATTTTCCTTTCCTCCAGTATTCTTTGCCTGCTTTGCCTTTCTCTGTGTCTGGCGTTCTCTCCCTGTCTTATTTCTCTCCTTTGCCATTGTGATCTGAAATACATTCTATTAATCAATAATATGCATAGAATTATGTGGAAGGATTTATTAAATTGCTATGAAAATTTGAGCTTAAATTCATTGCCATCTTCTCAACTCAGACCATAGTATGGAAATTAGCTCCATAGGTTACTCACATTTCAATAATATTTGGCTGGACGAATTGCAAACCACGCCCCGTAAAACTCTGAAATGTTTTGTAGAGCTGCCATTTTATTATCCTCGCATTAGCATTATTAGCATTAGCATTCGCCCAGCGCACAAACGCAGAGAGACTAATTTATGGCAACACAAAATAAAGCATGGGAGCGGTGGAGATGAGGAGATGTCAGCGTTCTGGCGATTTACTCGGAAGGCTGCTGGGAGTCCCAGCAGCTTCTAATGAAGCCAGTCCCCAACTCCGGGGACTTCGGGTGGCAGTATACACCGTGAAGTGGTTTGCGGCCTGCCAGTAAACCCAAAGCAGAAGAAGACGAAGTGACGTCAGCGGCTCATTTGCGTAATCTTCCCTCAGGGAACTTATTCCGGTGTGAACGCGATCTGTACTAAGTGCCCTGGGGTAATAAGTGCCGGGGCACTAAGTGCCGGCACTAAGTACGGCAAAGTACTTGGTGTGAATGCGGCTTTTGGGATATTTATCTCCCATTCTTTTACTTTTCGGGCATTTTACAGACCAAACATGTCGTTGATGTCACTGTTTACCAAACTACCACTTTTTCTGAAAAATGAATAAAATGATGCAATATATGTTAAATACATGGTTTATACATGTAATTACTGGGGTTCCATTTCTTCTGATTACCTAATTTGGGCGTGCACATTTGCCGCGCACAAACCTACCTCTTTTGGATTTGGAAAGGTTGGCATGGACACACACAGGGCCGTCCCTCCCTACAGGCCGATCATGCAGACTGCATGGGGCCTCACCTCGCGGAGGGGGCCTCATCTTGCGGAGGGTGCCTCAACTGAGCCTCAATGCGGCGCACCTATGCGCTTATGCGGCGCAATTAGTGTGGCGCGGCACGGTTTCGCCGCTGCGAGGCTCCACTAGCACCACCCCCCCCGTCGACGACGACGTCGACGCTCGCGAAACAGAGGGCCTCATCATATAACTTTGCGTGGGGCCTCATGTTTGCCGGGGACGGCCCTGGACACACAGCTGCGACTGTATACGGAGACGATAGGTTGGGACGTATAACGTGTGCCGGAGAATATAGGTTGGGACGTGTCACGTGTGCCGGAGACGATAGGTTGGGACGTGTCACGTCGGCCGGATGTCGCCAATGACGTTATAGGAGCGAAAATTCTGGATCTGCTTGTTAGCACCACCATGGATGTATAATAGGTTAGCACCCCCCCTTTTTTTTCAGAGATGTGGGTACGGAAGAAAAGAGAGAGGGTTTTGTTTTCTGACACTTTGTGAGTTCCCTGACACACCGGGGACACATATTTGTATAAAAGACATAAAAAAGTGCATTTTGCATAATAGGTCCCCTTTAAGTTAGGTTGCAATGCCTTGCGGTAAAAGCAGTTAGTTTAATTTCAATGGTTGCAACCCCTGCTTGCCTGTGATGTTTCAGTTTCACACAGCTGTAAGTCTCGGTGGCAATCTCGAGTGGTGCACTGCACAATGACAAAGCTAGCTCTCCAGCCTAGTCAGGTGGCACAGCTATCTGCATAGTAACATAATGGCACAGCCAGTACAGAGCGGTTTTACAGATGGTTGATGGTTTCTTGATTGCCAAAGATCTTGGTCCTCCTTTAACATTACCATTGGAGCGACAGTGGCTGCGAGGTAGTGCAACCGTCGTCCTTAAATTGGAAGGTTTTGCATTCAAACCTAGTCAACATGTCTTATATTTAACCCCAAGTTGCTTGCAATGGCAACGTTGTGTGTGATTGTGTTCTATGAATGTTAGCATATACTTGAGCAAATGGCACATTACTCTGTATGCATGGGGTATGAATGGATGAATGGGTGAATGATGACTGATGATGAGGGGTCATAAAGACGCTTTAAAAGTACAGTCCATTTGCCATTGACTAGACATTGTCTTCAGTAAATTTGTTATCTTTTATTTAAGTTTAAATTGGATATTGTGGATATTTGTCTGGCATTTTAGAGAGCCTTAAAGGTCTCCTATCATGCAAAATGCACTTTTAGATTTTCTAATTGTCTCTCTTTTTTAGTATAAGCACTTATCTAACAGGGCTGAAATAGAGGGGTATGAGGCATGGCTACAATGGTGATCTGTCTGGTATTTTGAGCAAAACACTTCATAGACATTTTTTTTTTTATCGGAGACCTATAATGTATGCCTAAAAATAGTAGGAGACATTTAATTTGAACTGCAGTAGTGCAGCAACATGATACGTTTATGGTCTTATTGCCATGAATCACGTCATGTATTAAAGCTGTCTTAGTCTAAAGTCTATGCAGTTGTAAAGCTGAGGAAACCACTGCTGGCCTGCTTGGTTTAGCTCAAACCACTGATGCATGAATAGCTTGAACTGAAATGATAGTTGACATCCACGAGGTGGCAGCAGATGCTTGTGGAAGAGTTCAAACAAATATTGAGGTGCCTTTTTCATTCATGTTGAAAATACCCTCATGCTCATCAAAAGCATATCAATGTCGAATTGAAGTGCACAGAATAATTGCTAATGATCACTTGAAACAATGAACTGTGGCATTACGCAATTATTAACTAAATGGAATTCGGGTGTCTTTTGCTGAATTGCAAATGACAAACATAAAACAAGCAGCTAAAACATGGCATGTATATGTACATTTAAGTTACTTATTTTACAAGGAATATTTAAAATTCAAGTTCTGTTAAAATCAACAGGATAAAAAGAAAAAGTATAAAACATGTTAAGACCAGGGGAAAAAAGGGCTGTTTTTCTTAGTGTTGTAAGGTCTTAAAAAGTCTGCAGGTTTTAAAACCTTTGTGAAGGACATTGTACAACAAAAATAAGACACTCTACATTCGCTCAGAGACAACAAGAAAGAGGAAATACAGAAGGTGAAATAATAATAAAATGCTATATGCTGTAGTCTGTGCATGTGCTGCCAAACTATAATGCTGCAACCCGGAGCACAATTTTCATGTTGCATAATCAAGTATGTTTAAAATGAGAATAATAATAGATAAAACTCAGCTGGCAAGACTACAGTCAGAGAGGAGCAGACAATGACCCATCTGGCTGAACAATAAGCAGTATCCACACTTAATAAATTGTTAGCATGCCGCCCGTTTTTGACAATGTGCTGACAATGTGTCATTCATGACATTTTAGGAGCAAAAGTGCAAAACATTCTCCTGTATCTCACTTTGAATTATTTGGTCTGAATTTGCTCTGGAAAATTCAGATGTACCTTTACTTAATAACAAATTGGTGCTTAAAGATTAGTTTAAATATAAATGTTTAACCTATACAATCAAAAGCTACAGATACTTTTGCTAAATAATTCATTATCATTTTTTAAATAATTGATCTCCAGTTTTTTTTCTGGTCTTAACACCTGCATGTGGTATGTCACACTGCTATATACACTATTGTATATATAAGTTCACTTGTGTTCACATCGATTTCAGCATGAAAAGACTGTTGGTGTGCACATTCATTAGTTATTTATTAGCTCTTATTTGCAGTGTTTTTATATATTTCCCCTTTTTTGCGTTTGTTTGCAAAACTCATTGACATTTTTAAAGGGTCCTTATTCGGCTTTTTGGGTATTTACCTTTCCTGTATTGTGTTTTATAGGTTTTTGTGCATTTAAATGGTCTGCAAAGGCTAACATCCCTACAGAGGGAGTTTCTTCCCCTCACACTGACCCCTGCCTTAAACAGTCTCTTTGTTTACTTCTGTTACATAATGACATCACTATGTAACACGTGCGCTTCTATTGGCAAGCGCTCCAACCCATTGTACGTGATAGGCCAAGGGGTTGGACATCTCTTAGTGGTTGACCAATCACAACAGAGCCAGCCAGCTTACCAATCACAGAAGACTGAGCTCTGGTTTCAGACAGAGGGTGAAAAGAGGTGCTGCAGCACAGCGAGTATGAGAAAAACAAAGAGCTTTTTTAACATGAAAGCATGGAAATATGTTATAGTAGAGGCACAACATACAAATATTAACCTGAAAATGAGCATGATTATGTCCTCTTTAAAGAAACTATCTTCTTTGCGCTGAAAGACAGTCAGAACAGAGTATGTTGGAGTTGAGGAAGCTTAGAGAGAGAGTAAGAGAGAGCACACAAAAACACAGCCCACAAACTTTCACAAAATCTAGTGTATGCAAAAGCAAATGAATCAGTGCTTTGTGGTTGTGTCGCAGGGGAATACTGGCCACCCTGCTGGCTTCTCACACACAGCAAAAGACCTGATGTGATCCTAGACAAGTTCAGCCCTCAAGGAAAATCAACACAACACTCACAGATGCTCATGAATGGTGATGTTTGATGCATTTGTGCAACTAATTATTACTAAATAATCACCTTTGTTATGTTATATGTGGAAGGGTATGACTGTAAACTGTGTTCCCGCAAAACACATACAGTGACAAGTATTCATAAAATATTGGAAATGCCATGCTGCAATTTAGCTTCTTAATCTTAAGACTTCGTATTGGCTTTGTAATTCTCTCACCAGGGCGCTTTATAAGGCCCCATAGTTTTTTACACTGTAGCCTTTTTTCTGGTGCCAATAACTAGTTTGGGCCATGTCTTCCTGTCAAACAAAAAAAAAATTGAAAAAGCAACATTTGCAATATTTATGACAGGAGTGGGCTGCTCTCATAACATAACACGTTTACCTTCACGTCACATCTAGTGGCGATCAGGTGCCTCCTCAAATAGATCAACACCCAAACAGTGTGTGTTTTAGGTGTGAGTGTGTGTGTGTGTGTGTGTGTGTGTGTGTGTGTGTGTGTGTGTGTGTGTGTGTGTGTGTGTGTGCGTGTGTGTGCGTGTGTGTGTGTGTGTGTGTGTGTGTGTGTGTGTGTGTGTGTGTGTGTGTGTGTGTGTGTGTGTGTGTGTGTGTGTGTAGGAGAGAGTTTGTAAGGTGGGGGTGCGGTAAGGCAGTGGGAGCTGCAGGGCTTGTGGAGGCGTGGTCCTCTGCGTTGCACGTTGCTAAGCGCGAATTTGGCATATAAACGCAAAATGAGAAGCGGTCCCATGCAGCCAGTAGCGCACTGAGCCAGCTGAGGAATTCAACAGGTACCTATAGACATTTCTGAGCTCTCTCTCCCCGCGTGGATGTACCGACTGCCTGCCCTTGTGTTGCTTGTTGAATGGAATTAAAGGCTCCATGGGTTGGAAAACTGCAACTCTGCCCTAATCTCAAGGAGCTCTTGCATCTGGAGTATTGCACCTGAGATACTCTGATCGATTTGAGGGAATTTAAAGGTAAAAGTGCAGTACTGCACTATGAAATTACTTTTATTGTTATGGACATGTGTGTTTTTATTACTACAGAAATATGTCGTTCTTATCTAACGTTTTTTTTTTTTTTTAAGTATTCCTAAAATCATTTGTGCAGTATTATCTTTAGTGGAACTAGTTTTTGTATCAAACAATGCTAAGTTTAGTTCATAAAGGGGTCAATAAAAGGAAATATAAAATAAAATGTCTTTTAATAATTAGCTCCAATGCTGCACCTTACCTTCAGTAAATGTTACGGTACAGTAATTTACGCATGCGCAGTAATTCTCGTGCACTGTAACAACGTGTGAAAAATCAGTTTACACTGGTCCTACTGTGTGTACTGATGCGTGACCTACAGATGCACTCATACTGCTGAAAGCTGTATTACCCTTACTGTTTGAAGTCCCCTATGATTACAGCATTATTTAAAAAGAGACCGAGGATGGATTTAAGGTGCGTTTGGGGCTATTTTATAAAAATGCTGTAGTGTGGAAAAGCTTGTTTAGAAGAGGGTGAATGAATATTGTGTACACTTATGTGAATTAAGCCATCAGTCAATATTCTCCTATGTTTTATTGAAATTCAAGCTAAAGCTATTCTACTCTAAAGAGTTGTGGACTCAAGTCACAAATTCGATTAAGACTCGACATTATAAAATCAAAATTGACTTGGAATCGAACACCAATGCTTGCATATTTAGTTTATCTTTAAAATACTTGATACCTTTCCAGAGCCAAAACATTGTTTAATATTTAATTAAAAGTCACAAATCGATTCATTTAATTTAATTTAATGAATTGACTAATGTCAATCCTATTCATTCCAAGCAAATGTACACTTAATTCACCTGATTTACTTTGTTTGAACCAGTCTGACAGCAACCAGAGAACCATCAAGGTTTGAGTGGATATAAAATAAATATATATAATTGATTTTGTTTAAGTATTAAAACTACACAGGGTCAACAAAAAACGAATTCAATATGCATAATTTGCAGGTCAAAAAAGCATGACATGTTCAAGAGGCAGCCAGTGAAGGACTCAAAATGCAAAGGCTTTTTGGCTTGGTACTTCTGACTTAGGACCTTGACTTGCAACTTGAGACATACTCGTGACCTGCAAATCCCATCTCTGATACTTTTCTACTCTTTTTGTTTTGCAGAAATCAAAAAGTATTCTTGATTCAGCAGTGGGATTAACTCGGTCATGAAGAAGTCTATTCCTCTCCTGGGCTGGGTTAGAGTAGCGAGCTTGTTCCTGTGCTTGTCCCAGACCGTCCTGGCTGTGGTCCTCAACAACTCTACAAATCTCGAGTCCATCCTCGACAAGTACAGGGACAAGGATGAGGAGTGGTGGAAGGTCAGGTCCAGAGGGAAGAGGGCCATCAGCGAAGGAGACATGCACCTGATCCTGGACCTTCACAACAAGCTGAGGGGTCAGGTCCACCCTCCTGCCTCCAACATGGAGTTCATGGTAGGTCCTTAGGATAAAGCTGCGCCTTATAAACTGTAGGTCAATTTCCTCAAAATCGAATACAAATATTAATTTCATCATGTTTTTATTTAAATGAAAATGGCACTATCTTGCAATGTTAAATGAAACATAAACCATGATTTGTATGCGATCCAGAATCCAATGGGTTCTTTCTTGGCCCTTCCACCAAGTTTCATGAAAATCGGCTAGTATTTATTTTCCGTAATCCTGTTGACAGACAAACATACAATCACACAGACAGAGGTGGTGGGGGTAATCAATAAACCCTACCAGTATTATTCAAATAAAGTGTCAGAATAAAATTACTAGAGTTAAACGGATACAAATTCAGTTAATTTTGATTGACCCTTTCCTGAATGCCCGTCCAACCATAAAGGGCCACAGCAGGCTTCTGGCACTGTAGCTGTGTCAGCATAATAGGGAAGGCAATACGGACAGAACAAGATCTGCATCCAAAGCCCCCATCACGCTAGCTCCTTCCTCCTGCTTGCCCGCCCTTGCTGACCCTGGCCTACATCCAGCTTTCACCCCCGCAGTGTTGTCCTGCCCTCTGCCTCAACCATCCTGCCCTCCCTCCTTCCCTTCCTGCCCCACGTCTCCTTACTCTATCGCTCCGTTTCTCCTCCTGCTGACTCTCTTTCTCCCTGCCTTCTAGATCTTTAGCCTCACATGCTTTCCCTGAGGCTTTTCTTCACCCTGCTCTGCTTTCACGCTTTCCCTTCGCCTCCTCTCTCCCCATCCATTGCAGCTCACTCAAACCCTGGCCGAGGCCCATGTTATCTTTTGTTTGATCCTCCACGCATCTCATTTCGGTGCCACAGCGGTGAATCTATTTCAAACATGTTGAGCCTCGCCGTTTGAAGTGCAGGGCATGGTAGTGTAAATGTATGTTATGTACACTTATCTAGTGTTTCTGAAGCGAGGGATACTATTACTGATTATAATGATGTGGTGAGGCAGGAGAATGATGAGGGCCAAGTGTTTGGTTTTCAGATTGCAGGATTTGAAGGCCAGGAAGACTGCAGTTTATTTGCAGCTCTGACTTCTTTATTTCGTTAAAAAAAGCCACTCAGCAATTCCTTTAAAGCACTGTTGCATCTTAATCTAAGTCTGTCCCTTCTTGCAAAGCAGATTTTCCAGAAAAAGAGAACTCTCTAAAGGTAACCATTACCATAATCTTAAATTACAAGCATTTATGTTAAGCAATTTGCGTCCTTTACATTTCCAAAGGATGGCTCTTGTTTTATTGAGTATTCCCACTGCTGTAAGACATGTGCTTCCCTCTGTAGCAGAGGTGGTCCTGGCAGATGGCTGGAAACAGCTCTGTATTTTGAGAAATGAATGCTCTTTGGAATGCAAATGGCGACTGTTAGTTGTTACAGTGACCGTTCCCCAAAGGCCAGCGGGCAGTCCATCTTCCTCTGTGATGGATAATTGAGGATGAAGAATAACAAGATCACAGGAAGAATAATGAGCTGACAGTGATCATTAGTATCCACTGTCGATTCTTTGTAGTAAACTCGATCATCATTATAACCTGCAGGAGTAGTGACACATGGCCTGTGCGGGTGGGTAGTATTTCATTACAAGTAATCAAATAATCTATGTTCTAATAAGTGCTTTAAACATTTCTAATGGCAACGTTTTTCAATCTGTTCCAAGCGGATTTGTTAAGGTTAAGTTCTGCTTTTGCATTTATAACTCACATGCTTCTCGTATGGTTCAATTTCTCTAGCTAGCTAGCTTTCTCTAACTTTGATGTGTTAGTGAGCTTTAAATCGTAATGTTAGAAGATGTGTTGCATCTTATTGCTTAGAGCAGGGGTTTTCAAAGTGTGGGAAGGTGAGCCTCCCCTCAGAGAACATAAGATCAGCCGCGCCCCCCCCCTCCCAATTATTATTGCTATTATTATTATTATCATTGTTGTTGTTGCTATAATGCAGTGGTATTCAATTGCATTTCAAAGAGGTCCAGTAAGATAAAATGAAGACTGTTTCTCTCCTCTTGTCTCGTCTCTGTGTGTGTGTTTGAATCTATCGTGCTGACTCACTGACTGCACCGATTTGATTGGCTGAGTAGCGTCACCTCCTTAAAACATTAAACAATAACTTTTTTAAACCTTTTTATCTTTATGTTTTAAACATATTGTATACAACTCCCCCACTACTTGGACTATTCCTTGCACCCCTCTAGAATAAGCCCAAATGGTCTCAACCATATTGCATCAGTAATAACGTGCACTTTGTTGTTATCGTTATAACAAGATCGCAAGGACACTGGTAGCGATCGGACAATTGAGTGTTGTTCAGTTTGTGTGTTGTGGAACATGCGTGTCCGTGCATGAAAATATACCACACACCCAATTACAATAGCATGTTCAATTCACTACCCTGGAAGTTAATAAAGTTGTTAAAGTTGTAACAGCCTGTGGACAGCCGTTCTTCCTTGCATGTCAGTCGCCGACACCTTCTTACAGAGGACAGGCAAATCTAGCTGCAGCACGACCCGTATATTTTCGCACGCCGTGTTCTCAACACATATTTTTAAAACATTTTTAACATTTTCAACATCGTGGATAAATCCTTATATGTTCCCCGGCAACACACTGAACGTCAATTTTGCCTCCTTATTACACTCATCCCTACTTTAGTGGGAACAATGAGTCTGCGTCTTTGATGCACACAGGAATAAACGCAGATCATACTCTGCACTTGATTTTGATCAAAGTCCATGCGGAAAACCCGCACTCACACAGGTAGGTGGAGATGAAGGGAATGAGCACTTTTACAGCCTTTTTGGCGAAGTGGGGGAACTCGGTCTCCACAGACAGCCAAAAGTGGGCAAGTGTCACTTTTCTCATCTTTTCTCGTTATTTTTTTTCTCACGCTGCGCCTCCCCTGAAGCTCTCTGGCGCCCCCCAGGGGAGGCGCGCCTCACACTTTGAAAACCGCTGGCTTAGAGCATTTAAAGAACACGTTGTCTTCCTTTTATCATACATACATTTGTTTTATTATTCGATGACATGAATATACTGTAGCACCAATGCCCTTATAGCAATGTTGGAGAAAGTGACACATCACTAAATGTTGTGTTTCCCCGCAGATATTTGGATCCAAACCAAAATGTAATGGATATTCTCTGCCGATTTTACACCTTCCAATGAAATTCCTAAAAATATAAAACAATTGATTCCGTAATCCTACAGAGGGACAAACCAAGACGAAAACGTAACCTCCTTGGCGAAGGTGGCAACAATTGGAATGATCAAATTTGACCAAACACTTTAAATATTATGTAATGATCTTGGAAACATATAGTAAGAAGGGCAAAGCAGAAAACACACAACAACAGTGTTGGCATCTCAGCCACAGCTGGACCATGGCCAAAGGAGTAAAGAGCCAACGAGTCAAAATATCTCTTCTCCAATCAGACCTGAACAGTAAGCAGCACCACAGTGAATGAGCAACAGTGTGCACAGTGTGCTAGCCTTGCCAAACATATGGAACACATTATAGTGGTAAATCACAGCAGTTGCAACTCCACACTTGAGCATTATCCTGTTAGTTTTGACGTGTGATAGCTGTAATGCAACCAAACAGTTCAACGACAGAGCACACTGCACCTTTTCTTCTCCCTCGCAAACAAAGTCACCATTAAAATACGGTACATTGGAAATACTCAATACTCTGCTTTCCTGCTTTGTGGGAAGTTTTTACAGTAAAAATGGCTTCAAGCCCCCAAAACAGAGAGTCTCTGTTTTAGGGTAGCTTTTATTTGTCATATTTGTCAGCTTCTTTTATGAGACCAAAACTTACTGGAAACAAGCTATGAAACAACCGCAATGAATAGTAGCACAACACTGCAAGTTGATGTGGTGGTAGTGATACCTCTCTGTTTTCCTTCTCTCTCATGTATGTGTCTGTGCGTAGGAGAGTACATGTGTGTGCCTAATAGGAGGGGCCTAGTTTTGACCATACTGTGTTAAATTTGCGAGAGACATACATACAGCCACTTTACCTTAAAGAAAAGAGCAGGTTCATCTTTCAGGTTCACTTTCTCTCAAGTAAGTCAGGTTACTTTCAGATTAAGTACAATGGAATTTAAAGTAGTTTAGTTTACTCGATATCTTAAAAAATGCAATGAGTAGCAATTACAGCCTCAACTATGGTAAGTGGCCACTTACAGTAGCCCACTTAAATCATGAAGGTAATCCAGGAGTTCCAGGTCTGCAAACATCAATTGGAGGCAAAGAAGCTCTGACCTCAAACAAACTCATTGAGTTTAACCTGGAGCCCAAAAGAAAACTAATATTACTGAACCTAATGCTTTATGTACCAGCTGACAAAAATATGAGCCACCTACCCTAGCGGACCTTTAGAGTAGGGTTATGTTCATCTTTCCAAAGGCACGTAACAACTTAACCCTGGACCCTTTGTGTGTTTGTGTGTGTTCTCCCCAGGTATGGGATCATGAATTAGAGAGGAGCGCAGAGCACTGGGCACATACCTGCCGATGGGAACACGGGCCGAGCCACATGTTGACACAAATAGGCCAAAACCTTGGAGCGCATTGGGGCAGGTGTGTATGTACAAAGTGGAGAGAATTTTGACAGTTATATGATTTTTTTATACAGCAGTATTTTAATGATAATGTCTCTTACTCAGGATACCACTGTTCCTGTCTCATGTTTAATTAAAGAGCTACAGAGAGACTGAATATTGGACTTACCTTAGTAACGGGGTCAGGAACACAACTTCGCATACAGGCTAATGTTGTGCCAGGTCTGCCACATAAACAATTGTTTGCTGACACATTTGCCTTCATAGGGTAATAATATGTAACCGTTTTTTTTCAGCTTGTTTTGTTGCCCCCAAGTGGCTAAACAAATATAAATGCAACTTTAATGACCCCGACATATTTTCACTAACTGTATGAATGCTTGGTACAAGGAGGCTGGAAATGGCCCATCCCATTCAAAGCAACCTTCTTTAATGTCATCAATAACCCCTGTGTATAATTGTTTTAAAATGTCTTCAGTGAAAATGTTAAAAAAGGGAAGACTTTTTCCTTGTAATGCTCCATGATGGCCTTTCATTTTGTTACAGGTGAATTGCCTTGCTAACGGAAACCTAAAACAATGCAGTGTGTCTTTACCAACAAATGAGATGAGAATACGTTCATGGACTTGACTTGAATATAGTTTTTGTCACATGTCTTTTTGATGACGTTATAAAAAGATGCAGTGTAACACTTTTTCTGGGACTTTAGGGACCGTCCCCCTACCTATCATGTGCAGGCATGGTACGATGAGGTGAGGCACTACAGCTATCCCTACTCCCAGGAGTGTAACCCACACTGCCCATTGAGATGTTCAGGACCTGTTTGTACCCACTACACTCAGGTAAGGGCTTTTTTACTTCCATGTGTCTATAGTCAGAGTTGCTTTTGGAATACTTTAGGCTTTTTAATTAACAACATTTTTATTTAGAATTAAATATTTGCAAAAAGTTGTTTGTTTTGACACAGGCTGAATAGACCTCCTATTTTACCCTCTTTGTCAGCCTTTTTCGTCACGAACACCTCTCTTATCGACCTGTCATATTGGAGGAAATTTCTTACCGATTCCTTTATCTGCTTATACTAGTTAAATGTCAATATCATTGTATATCTGTAGTAATTTTCTTTTTTGGTTCCATTGGATTAGCTGAAGCCTATCGATTTACCATTTATTCTCATGTGATTGTGAGACCCAGATGTATTGTGTAAAATCCTGCTCTACTGCAGATAGTAGAACACTTGACATCTGCCTTTGGAAGATTCAGTTACAAGCTCCACCAAATGTGAGAGCACTACTGAACTTTTGACTTTGTTTCTGTATGTATTTACATTTTTCAGTTGGTGTGGGCAACAAGCAATCGTATTGGTTGTGCCATTAATGTGTGTTACAACATGAACGTGTGGGGAATGATCTGGACTAAAGCTGTCTATCTGGTCTGCAACTACTCTCCACCGTACGTTTTGGCATGTTTCAGCATCCGCAAAATAACTGAGATCAAAACTTAAACCATTAATGTTGTATCTCATTATCAGATATATATTTGTTTTCCTTTTTTAACTACGGCAAATACTCTTTTTTTCAGAGGCAACTGGTGGGGTCATGCTCCGTACAAATATGGATCACCCCTGTTCTGCATGTCCAGCTAGCTATGCTGGAGGCTGCAGGGACAATCTCTGCTACAAAGGTGAGTTAGGATCAAGAGTCTTACTATTTGTGCCTTATCTTATCTCCTTACATACCTTTATACCTACCCTTAAAGTTAATAATAGTTTAACCAAGAGAAAATGGGCTCAAATTAAATACAATACAGTGACAATCTTGTATCCATGTTTTTAGATGGGGGTGTTGACAGGCGTCCAGCTCCTGAGCTTGAGGAGACCAACTACATTGAACCTGAAACAGAACCAGTGAGAGACAGGGAGCCGCAGCCCAGGGCCCAGACACCAGACCCCTCACCCAACGACAACCTGGAGAGAAACCAGGTTCTCAACACAGAGCAGATGTGTAAGCAATGCTCTGAAAATACTACATCTCTCCCTGTGAAGCCGTTTTGAGAGTGTACATCATTACTGGTATTAAAATGAGGTTGTAAAAGCTCTTTTTTATTTGTTATTGTAGGTCAACAGGTCGACTGTGAGACTAAACTGAGAGATCGGTGCAAGGGAACAACCTGTAACAGGTAAATGCTTTGGAATATAGTGACACTTGATGCAAATTCTGAAAAATATCATGTGATAAGGTAGGTGGGAATTATCAGGACAACTCAGATGGGAGTAGATCATAAATAATGTAAATTAAAATAGTCAACTATAATGGGTCAAGTACCATTGCCAACATGTGTTCACTATACTCTTGTTCCTTTCCTTAGATATGAGTGTCCACCTGGCTGCCTCGACAGCCCTGGAAGAGTCGTTGGGAGTGGACATTATGACATGGTAAGGGATCACCAGAGACAACTTACATTTTCAGTACATTTTTTAAACCTGCAATTACATTTATGTATCCATGGAAAATTAATTGGGGTTGTTTATTTGGAAAAATCTGAGGATACGATACGTATTTTGATCCATGCAGTTATTTTAGATACAGTATCACAAAACATATATATATTTATATATACTTGAGTATCACTATTGTGTTAGTCAAGTGTTTTGATATTTTCTTAAAGCCCTAAAATGTAGGTTGATTATATTTTTACTTTGTCTTTTATTGCAGCAATCCAGTGTGTGTGGAGCTGGTTTGCACGCTGGTGTTATTGACAATGATGGAGGATGGCTGGATGTGACAAGACTGGGTAGAAAACAACAATTCAGCAAGTCATACAAGAATGGTATCCAATCAATAGGGTATGAATCAGTCTATTTATTTAGTCTTTTTCTATTCTAGTATTGAGTAAAATTGGAATGATGGATCATGCCCTTTTCTTAAATTTGCAGGAAAAACCGAAGTGCAAATTCCTTCAAAATAGAGACAGTTCCTGGTAAGGAGCATACACTATTTGTATCTCATTAAAGATATATAACAACATGTCATCTGCATACAGAAACACATTCATTGTACGTTGCCTTTTTTTCTTTCAGTCAAGGCAGTAAGATGTGACACCACTGTTGCACTTTTCTGCCCTTACAAGAAACCTGTGCGACACTGTGCCAGGTAACATTCTGCTTTAGATGTATTCCTTAAGGAGACTGAAAATATCTCACTCAATTTAACCACAATCGACTAGACCAATGAGTCACAGTCATTCTAGGTAATAGTAGCTATTTGGCCCATGTGACATGTAAGATTCAGAACAAAGTATCACCACTAGCCTATAGCCAGAGTATGCTAATATACCATTAGCTAACCTGCTAACGCTTCAGTAACGTCAACGATCAATCCAATGACCTATAATTATCAGGCTCTGCATTTAAAACAATAACATACATTAAATCCTGTGTATGCACTGACATTATTTCAGGTACTAAATAAACCTCTGTCTTTTTCTTCAGGTTGTATTGTCCCAGGAACTGTGTGCGGGAGAGTGGAGCACGAGTCATAGGGACAACATACTTCTCAGATGTAAGTTCTTGCATCATTGTCATAAATTGAGTCTTTCATTGACTTCATGTTGACATATCATAGTCAGTAAAGCAAATATATAGTATTTAATAACATGAATGGTGTCTTAAATTACTGCAGAGTATCAATAATTTGTTTATTTCTCTTTCAGAAATCCAGTATCTGCAGGGCAGCCATTCATTCTGGAGTTATCCAGAATGAGGCAGGAGGGTACCTCGACGTGATGCCTGTGGAGAAAAGGAGGCAGTACAGTGGCAGCTACCAGAATAGCATCTCCTCAGAGAGGTACTGCAGGGTTCAAAACAAAAGTACACATATATACAGTAAACCCACAATGTTCAAAAGACAGTAATGGTAATTCCAGTCAGATTATCCACCAACATTTTCAGAGGGTTAAACGTACAACATACAAACCAAGAACTGAGAAGGAGGGTTCTATTTCCCATTTTTAGTTTCTTAGATTATGTTAGAAAAATGCCAACCAGTAGGATGCAGTCAATTTCTTAGCCTATTCAAAGGAAAATGTAATAGATCAGTAGATCAGCTGACCTTTGAAAATGTTGCTGTTCCTGGTGCATTCTGGACAGACTAAATTCATTTCTAAATATTCAGAAATCGTAGTTTAAAAGCAAAGGGGGATGGGGGGGTTCACTGTTGACATCTTTGTTCACTCCTTGTTCTTTTTTTTCCAGCTTAGTGAACCCGACAGTTGGAAAAGCCTTCAGAGTGTTTGCAGTCATCTGAAGAACCGCTCCCAATGGACAGAGTACCATCAGACAAGGCCACTTCACATCCAGCAAGCCCACTCATTATCATCTTTCAACCTGTAATTACATCCAGTCATACAGTAAATTCAGCTTTTCACCTTCTGACCCAAAATATGTATGAGAGTTGTACTCAATGCTTCTCCTCTAAGTTTGGTGAGAATGATGATCCTGGATGTTTTTTGCCATATGTCTTACCAAAATATCCATAATAATTACATTGGGGCTGCCGTATATCTTGCTGACATGATATCATGACCTCATGTTTTTTTTTATCACATTGTATCAAGTTGATGTTGCACCCTACAAAATCCCACAATTTCCCATGTGAAGGTCAAAATATAACATGATGAAAATGACATAATAGGACCTCAGGCAGCGGTAGACAAAAAGGGGGTTTCACTTCCAGCCATCCACCATCAATTTTGCAAGCCAAAACAACAACTATCAGAATGCATATTAACTCTGGTTTGGGCTTCCATATAATATAGCAACTATTCAGGCAGTAGAATACAATTGTATATATTTGTAAATAATAATGTAAATAATACTGAACACCTTTTGATTAAATGTTTGCTACTGTTACCTTTTGTTTATTCATATTTCTAACACATTGCCAGCCATACAAAGAGCAATACCAGCAATAAACAGTAGATGCTGAAACTGATTCTGCATGCGTAACATATATTTGTCAAACAAGCTTTTTTTTAAATTTTTATAAAGGACAAGCAATAACTCTAGTATATTCATGTGTTTGTAAATATTGTGTATGTAACATATTGTTTTATTGTATGCTGCATTTCCCAGCCTTTGTTTACAGATTTATATGAATGGATCCTGGCTGGCCAGGAATGTGCATGGCAGAATCAAAATTAAAACACACAGAGATTAAATTCAAATGTTTTTTGTGTAATTTCTTATTGTTATAAAATCAATAAACTATACTCTCCTGCTAAAAAAAAAAAAAAAAATCCAAAGTCTGAAAACCCCAATTCACAGGCTCGACTGTGCTCCTCAGTTTACATTGTATTATGTAATACTTGTTTTCATCTTTAGCGGACATATGGTTACAGACATATGGTTTGAGTGGCCACACTTTTTAATATCAGTCCCTACAGCGTCCGGATAGCCTGAGGAATCTGGGCATTTCAACAACGTCTCAAATTCAGCTGCGGATGAAACTTTTGAGAGAAATGTCTTTCTAGAAAGCTGTGGGTGTTTCCAGAAACTGTAGGGAACACAGGAAGAGAAAGCTGCTTGTTTCAGGTCCAGGAAGGAGATTTTATTTAGCAGTTGGCTTTGCATGCTTCAAGTTAAGTGCAAAGAAATGCCAATGCAGGCAAAACCTTTGCCTGAACCAGTTTACATCCTGTCAATTCAATTTGAGATTACATTTTTGCTAATGCTTTACCCAAATGCCTAAAATATAAGTTGACAAACAGTTTTTATTTGCTTTCTTTTTTATCAACATTACTGCGTGTGTACATGTTCCTGCAGTGTTTTCTATCACTCCTCTTTTCAGTTTAATGTCAGTTAAGAGAGATGTTAAATTGCTCAGGACCACAGGCTGTGCCATAAGCTGCAGAGACAAATACCAGCTTTGTGTTTCGCTGATCTCAACTTCCCAGGATGCATGTCCGTTTCCCTCATCTGGATGGGCACAGATGTGTATTCCAGCTAAAAAAGTCCCTGTCAGTCACCTCTCAACTCTCATGAAGAGCCACACACACTCACAGAGGAGTACACACACACGGACATTAGACACACATCCACATAAGGCAGACACGCTCTGTTACTTTGCAAGTAAATGGGGTATGACAAGTTATGAAAAAGGACGGCATAGAAAAATAAACAATTTCCTTTGGAAGCTATTGATATTTTACCTGATCTTTTGTGTATATTTTAAAAGTCTTTGAGCATTTCAATTTCTATAAGATACAGTTTTGTGGAGACGTTACAAAAAGGTGTCTTAAAACACTATCTTCCGACAATAGGTCATTCAAATGTCAACAGAACAAATTACTTGAAAAGTCCAATATTGGTCAATGTATATACAGTATGTCCAGTCTAACCATCACATGAGGCAAGTGATGTTGCTCTGAAATAGGCATGACCCTTTACATACCACATCAAGAAAATAGAAACCAAGAAAACATATGCTAACTGGGTTTGTGCCAGGTCGCCTGGAGAAAGAAGTCAAGCATCGCAGTGCTGTCAAAATTCACAGGATCTTGTTGCAGAGGCGGCCATTGGCACAGGACCCCTGTGAACTGCTGCGGGCAGTTGGCCAGCCTGTCAGTCAGAAATTAGTCAGTCCGCCATCATGGCAGTCAATTAAAGGCTTTCTCAAGCATTAAGAGTAGGCAAGCAGCATGGAATTCCGTTTGTGCGTCATGACTCAATCAGTCAGACAGACAGCTGGTTTGGTCAGATGAGAAGCCACCCACTAAGCCAAGCAGTCCATTACAGTGGGTCGGTAAACCAGGATGCCCTAAAGGCTCTACAGTGGTTTACATTGGATACTTATTTAAAATGAGTAGTTTTACATTTTGGGAAATGTGCTATTGGATATCATGCAGAGAGTTAGGTGAGATCTCCTAAGACATACCACTCTCCATATTTACCGTGTAATCCATCCTCAAATCTCATTAATGGCAATAATAATAATCATTCCGAAAAATGCCGCTGGCAGACATCTACCTTTGTTGGTTTATTTGAAACGGCTTGGTTGGTGGTCTTGCTATTGCATATGGTTTTTACTAACTTTTTTTAAGATGGTGATGCTAAATGAGGCAATTCTTTGATTTTGAGCTCATTGCAGGCTATTAAATGCACATTTGTCTGGGTTAAACGGTAGCCTATTAGCTTGTATTGTTTAAAGGCCTGTTGGCTGTTCTCTAAATTGTCTTTTGGTTACGTTAGTGCATAAATAAAATAAATTAATTGTTCTCTCTCTTGCTCGTTTACTGAAAATACTTCATACTGTATGCACGTTTTGGAACATTAGAGCTAGCCTCAAAGAGGGAGTTCTATGAAATAAAATCCTGACAGGACCACTGTTTTAGAAAGTGTTACACTTTTCCTTGGAAGTAGTTTTTCAACTTTATAGTTGCAATCTAAGCAGTGTAATAGCTCCTACAGATACTCTCTGTATAAGAGAGATCTAACTGTGAACCTTGGACTAGCGTCTTTGTCATGCCATGACGTTTAGCCTGCAAACATCTTTTGAGAAACAGAAATCATGCCTCACAGAAAATGCCTTTGCAATGAATGATGGTAAAGTGGATGAAAGCTATTACAACACATACAATGAAGACAGTATCAAACAATGCATAACTCTTCCAAAATGTTCTCTAAAACATGGCCGAGTATGCAGTATTTAAAAGGGGCCCTGGTGCTCTGCTAGGAATTCTGAGCCCCTGGAGAAAGGAAACATGGCCCCTTGAACTTGATGTGTTGAACTCAGCAGAGTATAACCTGGCATCTTTGAGAGGGCCCCCACCAAGTTCGAGGACGTACTCTCCCCTCTGTGGGCCACACTTCTCAGCAAGCCACTGCATACATTGAATGCTTCAGTAAATCAGGGCCAAAGCCTTCAAAATGTTCTCTCTCAGACCAAACTAAACCTAGTCACCCTACTTTGGTCCTATATTTTTAACATAAAGTCGTAAGTGTCATCTTGTGATTCTGTAAATAGCTCTAGTTAGAGGCCTTGAACACTTAATCCATGACATTTAGCTGTAAGGGAAAGTTTAAGTCTTTTCATAGCAAATAGATAAATAGTCGTGACTGATATTTGTGTAAGTCTAACAACACACTCCTGAGTTGCCAGTTATAGCAATTAAACCTTTTTGATTGTGTGTGTTGGTCACTAAAATACCGAAACGTCAAACGGACATGGCAATTATGAGGTTTTTGGAGATATGTTTGACATTTTGACACAGCTGGCCGTTCCTGAAACACACTATATGTGTGCGTGTGTTCGTGAATACACTTCTGTGAATGAATGTGTAGTTCTGCATGTGTAAAAGTTAGGCACTTTCTAAATGCATCTCATGCAACCACTCTCATGCTATGTAGCCGGCTCCTCAAGCGGTTAACTCCTGGGTGGACACACACCGTGCATGTGGGCGAACAATCACTGTGGGCAGAATGAGAAGTAACGTGTGTGTCAGTGCTGGTGTTCGAGTGTGTGGTTGGACTTCCTCCTCTCAGCCCTTTTGCCACTCATAGATTTAGACATTGTTATTATTTTAACATAGTTAGCAGCTGTGTTTTGGTGGCGAAACATGGTAATCATCTCCCCATCGCTGGCTTTTCTGTCGGTTGATGTGTATTTATATCTGTCGACTGTTTCACTAAACTTTCTCAGGACTCTACACAGATCTGGAAGCTTCTCAAAGTCACACATTCATATTGAATTAGTCTTTATGTCTGTTCACTTGCGCTAATGTAATAATCAGATGGTTTTACTTATTCTTTTTGAGGGAATTGATCTATAAGGAGATTTTATGAGTTTATTTATTAACTCACAAACCAGATTAAAAGTAGGCACAGTACTTGTTAGTATAACAATAATTTACCATGACTGCCCTTACTGTACAACCCAGTCTCACGGCATTTCGTGTTATAGTCCCGACATTTAATCTATTGATTCGTGTTCACCAACACGATTTTCCCCCTTTTTTTCGTGTCACACAGAACGATTTTAAAATCAATGTATTTCTATTGGTAGTATGTTTCGTGCCTGCACCACGTTTTTTTGTCCGGTCGGGTCTTGGAAGACCGGAAGCTGTGTGGTTCATAAAAACATGTTCTTACTCAATATCAAGCCACGATTATTGTTTTTATTTTAAATCGTATAATGTCGGACTTTTTTTGACATCCGTGAGGAAAATAAATGGGATTCAGAGCGTCAGAATACTGAAATCTGTATTTTTTGTAATCTTTTTTACCTTCTAATTTGTTATTATTTTCTAAATAACACACTGTTATTTACTCAACAATAACACACAATTATCCTTGTTTTTATTTATTTGTTTAATTCTATAATATCAAGCTTTTTTGCCGTTCCTCAGGAACTGAATTTCAAAATAAAGTCACCGGGAACAGACAGAGGCCTATAAGGGACATTTTGAGCATCATTGCGATACACACCCACTGAACTGATTACCCAAGATCCTCAGCTATGGTTGAAGCTCGGTGAATGGATGTTTTAGCCGCAATGCACGTTGGGATATGGTGTTTATGCAATATGAAATATTAATAAGATATTAATGTGTAGAAGTAAAACATGTGAAATAATATAGCAATATCCTGTAAAATTATGTGAAAACATGAATAAAACGACACATCTTCAGATGTTATACATACAGTACATACGTGTCCTACACTAATAATACAAAGTTATTATGGCATTGTATGCTGTGTGTACCTTATTTGTAACATCTTCAGACCTTTCCAACTCCTCAATAGTTGCCTATCTTTGACTGTTGCAGGTGTAGGTTCAAATATCAAACAAATATATGTGTGGATAACAAAATACATCCGTCATGAACTAAGCTGGAAACTTTTACTGGAAAGTATAATTTATTGTGTTAACACTGTAAACTTGACAGTTTTAACACCGCCTAGTGGTTAAAGCACGTTATTGCATTTTTTGTTGTTGAATATGTTATATTTACATAGGGGGAGAGTAGAAGATCAATGATAGAAATATAGAATATAAAAAATCAAGAAGATACTGTAAGTGATCTCTACAATGAAACAGTTTAGTGCCGGATGTACAAAGATATTAATAGGAGGTTCACTAGCAAGAACCACGCCACGACAGTGTGATGTTTGTGCGTTTATTGAAGTAACATGTGAAGGATATGAGGGGGG